TGGATTATCAAGATACTACCAACAATAGGGGTGGAAATATATGGCGACTCTGAGTTGGTAATTAATCAGTTGAATGGAGACTACAAGTGCAGACATCTCGCAATGGCAGATTATTACTTGGCAGCTACTCAGTTGTTAAACTATTAGGGCACTGAAGTATTAATCAATCATGTCCCCATAAAAGCAAATTTAATTTCCAATGAGATGGCACATATAGCTTCTAGAGCACAGATTCAAGAAAGAAGGTTTGAGATAAATGTAGAGGTACAAAGAAGAAATCTCCCTTCTATCTTTAAAAGATGGTTCAACCTAGATGTAATGGCCAAAGAACCTGAGATAAAAGATTGGAGAATATCAATCATCTAGTACTTACAAGGCTTTTTTTTCCCCCCACGAGTAAGAAGATTAGGCAGCAAACAACTAAGTTTGTCATGTGGGACAAAACTTTGCTAAGAAAGACTCTAGATGGGCTTTTGTTGAAATGCTTAGGCCTGGAAGAGTCAATGAGAGTGATGGATGAAATGCATGAGGGCATTTGCGGGGTACATCAAGTTGGAACAAAGATGAGGTGGTTGTTGAGGAGATATGGCTATTTCTGGCTCGATATGGAAAAAGATTGTAAGGCTTATGCTAGAGGGTGTGAAGAATGCCAAAGACATGGACCCCTCCAACATGTACCATCAGTACCCTTGAATCTAGTAGTAAAGCTTTGGCCCTTCAGAGGATGGGCAATGGACTTCATCGGGCAAATTTACCTAGCTTCCAGCAAAGAACACACCTTTATAATCATAACAACTAATTACTTTACTAAGTGGGTAGAAGCTTCAATTATGAAGACCATCAATTCAATTGTTGTGAAAAAAGTTCATTGAGACTAAAATCCTACATAGATATGGGGTGCCCGAGACAATTGTTACAGACAGATGGCCATTTTTATCTCAAAAGAAGTAGAAGAGTTTGCAGACAAGTTCAAGATAAAAATGATCTAGTACAACCCTTATTATCCCCAATCAAATGGTCAAGCAAATGCTAACAATAAGATCTTGGTCAATATTATTAAGAGAATGGTGGCAGCTAGCCTAGAAAAATGCCACGAGAAGTTGGGAGAAACTCTTTAGGCTTATAGACCCTCAAAGAGGGTAGGAACTGGGATAACCCCTTATGCATTAAGCTTTAGGCAAGATGTTGTACTCCCCATGGAGATCAATGTAAGTTCTGTGGGACTTCAAAACTAGTTGGGCTTACATAGTGAAGAATTCATCCATGCGATGTGTCAAGGGATTGAAGATTTAGATGTGGCCCTAATTGAAGCCTTAAACAAGGTCTAGGAAGGAAAAAAGGATGTTGCCTGAGCTTACAACAAGAGGGTGAAATTAAAAACCTTTATGGAAGACGAGTTGGTATGGAAGGCTGTTCTACCATTGGGAGCTCAAGTTAGAGGTTTTGGGAAATGGAGTCCCACGTGGGAATACCCTTTCTTTATCAACCAAGTGTTAGATAGAGGAGGGTACTACTTGGTAGATTTAGAAGGAAACTTGCAAAGACATCCAGTGAATGCTAAGTTTTTAAAGAAGTATCACCCAACTTTGTGGGATGTTGCAGATTGTTATATGGATGAAGTCTAAACACCGGGAGAAGCGTTGGAGCCCTTTTTATTTATTTAAAATAGTTAAGTGTAAATGGACAAGTGAAAAGTAAAGTACAAATGATCTTTTCATTTATAATGGAAGAAGGTTACAAAAATCCTAGCCTAGCAAGTTTACATCCCTAGCTAAAGCAGCTATCCTAGAGTGATAGGTTTGCATGATAATGAAAATTCGACTTGGTTTTTCCAAGGCAATGTTGTTGTTGGCTAGTTGGGCTTTAAAGTTCTCTACTTCTTGGTTAACCCTATTTACTTCTTCAATCTTTTGGTAGAGCTTGCTCGAGAGGGTCATTTGCTCTTCTCCTTGTAACACTTCACTCGGTTGGCTTGCCTTTTAACCTGAAGAAGCTGATCCCTCATATTGGACCTTCGACATTTGTTGAGCCTTGAACAGCTCGGTGAGGGCTTTCTCAGTATCCTGAAGTACCTTGTGGCTGAAGAAAACCATGAGGTCCCTCTACATTCACTCCTGGAAAACTCTGCGCAGATCTCGAAGACGTTGAGGCTCAAAGGGGTGCCTTGGAGACCTCAACTTTGTTCTGATTTGCCTGAACAGCCTGACGAGTTTAGGTAAAGAAGCCATGGTAGGAATGAATACTAAGGAATGAGGCATTAATCCAGCACCCCAGAGGCAGCATCAGTGTAGGCAGCCTTAGGTGAGATGGTTGGAGGAGCCTCAGTCACAGTTGTCTTCCTAGGCCTAGGAATAGGGATCCTTGTGACTCTAAAAGCTTTGGAAGGTTGAGGAAGGATAACCTTGAGCACTGTGGACTGAAGAGACTTACATAAGCCCTCGCCAAAAGGCTGTTTTAAAACAAAAGAAGAGTAAGTTGGTGGCTTGGTCTATAACTAAACTAAAGAAAGAGCAGAAAAGAAAGAGCTTGTATACCTAAGTTGAACCTTGAGCTTTGGGATGAGGAACCTCTGTTGTTACTGCTGCCTTGGGAGAAGTAGGCTGCTTGGCCTGAGAGGGAGCTTGATGAGTTATAGGGCTAGTTACCTTTGAGACAATAGGTGTCTCAGGGACTATGGGTTCCCCAAAAGTTGTTGTTGATTAATGGATGGTCTCGTGCACTAGAGAAGACTGGCAAAAGACATCACAGATTGTAAGTTAACCAAGAATTGGAAAAGAAAATTTAAAGAAGAACCGGAGAAAGAAGAATGACTTATAGACGTGATGTCATCCTTCACGTAGTGAAACATCTCCCCAGTTGTTGGATTAAACTGGAAAGTGTGAGTCACCACCATAGCCGAATGAGGAATGAAAGAGGTAAAGCCTGGGGTTTACCCGACTTGAGGTGTAGATGCACCACCCCTTGCCTGGAAAATAATAGAAGTAAGTGTTAGTTTTGAAACTTAGAAAAAAAAACACAACTTGACCAGTGTTGAGAGATAATAGTATACCTCTGAGGGCTTGGCACGAGATGCACCAATCAGGCGGGAAAAGAAGAAGGCTCAAACTAGGAAGTTCCCTCTGCTCTGGTATCATATTTCAAGAAAACAACAAAGACTTAGCGATGACCTCTTTGTCTTCTTGTTGCACTTTTGCACCCAGCTACACCTCTTTAGGAGTGGGGGCAGGTTTCTCAGTGGCTTGGGGTCCTGATTACAAGACGAAGTAGGGAATTAGTTCAGAACTTAGCAAAATCAAAATTGAAAAAGAAAAAAGTCAAGATGGAGTCACTTACTGGAAGACTTCTATTTTTTCCTACCCACTTCAACTGGATGGACAGAAGAGGGTTTGGAGCCAGTTGTTGTTTCCCTCCCAAGGGCAGGTTCTTACGCGTTACTCATCTGTCTGCCACTGGAAACACCATTTCCCGTCCAACTTGCATATGTTAAGCATGCCGCCAGCATTCATCCTGAGCCAGAATCGAACTCTCCATGAGATTCATAGTTGCACTATTTACAGCCAGGTAAGGCAAGCTGAGCTTGGGGCTTCTCCTCAAGCTCAGATTCCAAAGATTCCATTACAGGCCCAACGAGGGGCCCTTGTCTCCACTTCAGGCCCAACATCGGCCTCTGATTCACTAAAGAGCTCCGAGATGTCCCCAGCATCCCCGGCATCTTTGCTGGACCTTACTCCTTGCCTTGCTGCTTCCGCAGTAACTTCTTGGAGAACCAAGGCATATGCAGCCTCATCCTCTAGCCCGACATCCACTTCTTCAATGTTGCCTTGGGCTGTAAATCATAAAAAAGGGTTAGCTAACCATAGACTACAAAGCATCATCTAGAAAAGGAAGATAAAAGCAATGTGATTTACCTATTAGCAAAAGCTGGTTCTTTTGGTTGATCGCCTCCTTCCAGTTCTCGAATTCATCATTCTTAGGGAGATATTTGAAGAAGACTTGCCTAAAGAGTTGATTGTGGGCTTCCTTAATGTCCCTATCATACTTTTTTGACCACTTGGCCTCCCACTAAGTGGTGAATTAGGAAGTGCACTCGAAGTTCAAGGCCACGAGCTTGTGAGCAATCCTACTCATCACTTCGAGGTTGTGCCGAGTTCCCTGAAAAGTCACCTCAGAGGGAGAGTGGAGGCGATATGAGGTTCCATAATGAATATTGTCGAAGAAATGCACTAGGATTGCCTGCCTAAACTCTAGTTGTATACCATAGAAGTTAGGGTGGTAAACTTCTAGCCCTTACTCATACCCAACTCTGTCACTGCTGACTCCTCAAGCCAGGTCCATCTTTTGGATGTAGCTGATAAATTTCTCTTTGCACAAGCTACTGACATCCTCCCCGAATGAATCTTGGAAAATTTGGTCAGAGAACCAGAGGTACCTCCTGAGCACAGAGGCACCCCACTCTAAATCTGCCTGAGTCCGATAGACTCTGAAAAAATAGGCAGATAAGTGTAAAATGGTTGATGGTGGGAGCCTTTGCCAAGATAAGGGCTGAAGCCCTTGAGGAATTTCAGGTTAGTTGCCCGAAAGTCAGGGAAGTACCATTGGAGTCAAAGTTGCACCATCTAGATGGCCCCATTAACATTGGTCTTGAATGGCTCACCCTTGGTCATTTTGTGGGGAAGGTGGTAGATGTGTGCTTGGATGAAGGGCCCCGTGGCAACATCGTCGAATGAATGCAGTGCCTCCACCAAAGGGATCCACTCCAGCTTCACTTCCTTCGACTTGTCAGGGAACACATGTTTGTTCAACCAGTAAAAGATGAAGTATATGTGTTCCTGGGCCCTATTTGCAGTAGGAAAATGTGGGTTGAACATTTTCTTCGTGAAGGGAATAAAGCCTTCGAACGACGTCTTATAACTCTTGAAAGTGGAGATATTGTACTCCAAGTGGGTGATTGACTCGAAGGCATCCGAGCTTTCAACTGTCGAGCGAGAGGAGGAGGACCAATGGTGTATGACATCCACGTACCTGCCCGAGGGCCTCAGGCTGAATACTTAAGCCATGTCCAAGACTCTGGGATTCATGGGATCCATTCTGAAGTCGAATGTATTAGTCCTGTAGTTCCAGAAAAGGAGTGCAGTGGCCATAAGGTCAGGCTTGGCTGAGACAGTGACCTTGGACATCATGATGAGCTAGTATATGCCATTTCCATCCATTTCTGCTTCTAGATGGGCTCAAGCTTATCCACCCACTATGACCAAGCCTCGTCCTTCATCAAAAGGAAACCCCTTCTGGAATTCAACCACTTGGAGGCAAAAATCCTGGCCTCGGTGGAATAGGGGTTGGGGGGTGAACCAATTGGCAGTGGGCATGTTATTCTCCACTGCAATTGGGACTCTGGCAATCCAGGCAGCCCCATGGAGTGTAAGTTTCCCTCTTCGAAGAAAATGAACAGGTTCAGGCCAGCCTGAGAGCGATGAAGGCCATTGAGACGACGGTGTAGATTGACGATTCCCTCTCCGGACTCGCATGCAGGGCTTGATTTAGAGGTCATGGTTGAAGGCAGAGAGTAAGAAAGGGTTGAGAATGCAAGAGTTTCAAGAATTCTGGAAATTCAGAGAGATGGATGATGAGTCAATATTATATTATATTATATATTTTACCCTATTCTTAGTATTAGTTTATTGATTATTTTGGTAGAATTTTGATACCTTGCTTTATATTTTCAACATAGGACATTCGACTTCCCCTGGAGTAGAATGTGATCAAATGGACAAATTCTGGAGTGATTCAAATTGGATGATGTTCGTGTATCTCTTTCCATCTTTGTATCAAAATTTGGGATTTTTCTACCAAGCAGTTATTTTGTGGTGATCAAATAAAGAAGCAGTGCGCGTTGCTGAAAAGTGACGTTTCTGGGTTTAAACTGAGTTTTTGGAGCCCAAGATAACCTCAGATGGGTTCGTGGCATTCTAGAGAAGTGTTCAAAATAGTTCTAGCTTTAAACACAATTATTTTTGGGCCAGTTTTGGAGCTGATTTGGGTCCAAAACGTGGCTGTGCAGATTTTTGGGCGAATTTACCAAGTTAATTTAGGATTATGTTTCCTATTTTATTTCAATTTATTAGGTTTCCTAGTTTTATTCTAAGACCTTTTACTAGGAGGATTTTAATTAGAGTAGTATAAATAAGGCTTGTTAGCCATTAGGGGTTTATACGCAACATTAGAGGAGAACGCACGCACTATTTGGAGAATTGCTTTTGACGATTCAAGTTTATTTTAAAGGTGTTTTCTATCCATGTTTTTAATAATATTTTGTTTTACGGTTGTTCGTAGCTAATTTTCATTTGCTAGGGCGATGCCTTGAGCCTTAGCATGAATACGTAGTTTTTATTTAATTGCTTATGATATTATGCATGCATGCTTTGAATTATTAATCACTGTGTTTTAAACTGTCTCTATATCTTAATACTTAGCTACCATTAGGATGTTTAGATAAGTAATCGAACGCAATTCAGTCGGAATGCCACCGGGGAATTGAGTATTGCTTCTTGTGATTGATAGTTGTAATTTCACCTAGGGCAAATGTCATATCTTAGGGGTTGCATGGTTTTTCAAAGGGTTTTCACAAAGCGTAATGAGTCATGCATGTTTATATTTGATATGAATGCCACATACGGATTGCATGTTTGATATACGTTTTAGCTTAAATGCCACAAGTAGAATATGCATAAGGAAAACCTAACCTTCAATGTTGCATGGGTAATTCATAAGTAATTGGTAAATCTACATAGGATTATTAAGGAGACGGCGGAACCCTAGGTTTTTACAATTTGGTTTTCAAAACTATTTTCTTTTGTTTTCATTACTTTGTCAAGTTATTTATTTGTTTTAATTTAAAATTCGTTTTTAATATTCTAGGTCATAAAATCAACTTTTTCCAATCTTTGTTTTTAAATAATTAATTAAGATTTGGTATTTACATAAATTATTCATTCAATCCCTGCGGAAACGACCTTGCTTGAGCCGTTTATACTACAACTACCTTGTTCTCTTGCAAGTATTTTGTGTGTTTTTATCCCTAATTTGGCAGGTGGTAAAATCCTTATCAATGGATTTGTTGGAAGTGATAGCCGAAGAAATTTAACGGACATTTAGTTGACGTTTGAGATTGTGGGTTAGTGCAAAGGTTTACTCGAAAACAATTGAATAAATAGCAAGCGTCCCAAGTTAAAGCATGCGGTTAATTTTAATTTTAATCATTATTAATATCTCAGTTAACAGACTTGACAATGATTAAAGGGGGCACTGTTTGGGCTTATATTTAACATTGGGCTTTGTAACAATGAAGGTCCAAAGATGCAAAAGCAAAGGGAGACTTGCCTGAGAGGCTCGAAGTAAATTGAGAGCCATTTCAGCCAAAGCATAGGCCATATGCCTATGATTGAAGTGATGGGTGATAAAGAACAACTCACCACCAACCAAAAAGCACTTTTCAAGGGCATGACAAGTAAATAAGTGATGACTCACTACCCTCCGAAAGTTATCAGCTAAAGGCAGAGTTGAGATAGTCGGGCCAAATTGTCTATAAATGTTGAGAGATGCACAAGAGATAAGGACACTCAACCAACCAATCAAAAGACATACAAACTCTATCTCAAGCCAGTTCGTACCCAGAAAGCTAAATTATGTTCAGATCTAGTCCCTTTTAGTTATAGTTCCCTCATAGAAAGCCATCTTTTGTCGAGATTAGAAGCTCTGTTACCTTCCCTTAGTGTTGTAGTATCGATTCCCTCCAGTAAAACCTATTTACTTTTCATCCCTCACCGCATACAAACCCTTGTAAACACAAAGAGAGGTGGCTGCAAGAAGTTGAACCTTGCCCGACAAGGTTAATCTTGCCCGAGTCTCTCTTCTTTGTACTTACATTTAGTAGATCTGTCGTTTAATGTACTTTCCTTCATGTATTTAAGTCACTTTCAATTGTTTTCTACTTAAGAGTTCCATTTATATTCAAATCTAGTTAAGTTATTAAGCGTGTTTTCATTAAAGTAAACTTTTATCAAGGAGACAGTTGGAAGGGCCTTGAACCCCCTTCATTTCGGACATACAAAACTATGAATTAAAAGTCCTTCTTTAAAAGGCAAGAAAAGAATTTAATGTAGACTTAACCCATCTGTGACAACCCTTTGATAAACAAGAAGTCTAAGTAACGTGGGACACAAGTAACCAACTTAACTCACTTCCATTCAACAATCTGTTATAAAGATAACAATGGCACGCCTAGATCCTTGTTAGTTTTGATTGTGAGCCTCAAGGCCTACACCAAAAGCCCCACAAAGGCACCTTTCAAACTAACTATAAACTCATCTTGCAGTACACCAAACAGCAAGATCTTGCCCGACAGGCAAGAAAGAGCCATTTTCTTGGGGAGCTGTGCAAGGGACCAGGTCCAAAAATCCTGCCCAAACACAAATGTTGGGATTTTAAATGGGGTTTCTGTGCATAAAACTCGTACCTTTAATTATGATCCTCCTTTAATTTAATTACAAGCTTTATGTTTCAAATTTTTGTTATGCATAATCACAATTTCTGTTGCCAGCTTAATGCAAATTGGTTTCTTTCGTCCGAGGCATCTCTCAAGCGTACCCTTATTCAAATGTTAATTTTTGAGCTACTTGAAGATCATTGTCGGGGAGTCTCTTCAGCAGCTTCTAGTGACGAAGACCAGGCTAAGTTTCCAGAATGTAACAAGCATGAAACTAGTGTGCAGCCTTTTTCAGGAAGATGTGGTCCTGCTGTAGCTTGCCAAGAAAATATGTCAAGTTCTCAAGCAGGCCAGGGAATTGAAATTAATCTATTATCCTCATCTTCTCTAAGGAGTTCTGAGTGTGTTAATGATGCAGGCTTGGTTCTCCAGGAACTTTTAGAGCCAGGAGCCACCCCCGCCTCACTCTTTGGAGAATATCAATCATTTGAACAAAAATCATCTTTTTACCGTCTTAATGGAGCTATATCACTGATGGAGGTAACATGATTTATTCTTGTTCTGTTGGGAACAATATTCGTTTTTAGTATTAGATAGTTGGGATAGAAAAGCATGAGCATGATTAATGTTGGCTTTTGGGCTTTGGAGTTCTTTTGGGTGTTGCTTTTTAGTTCATGTGTGTGTTTGGGAGAGGGGTATTGGAAACGCCATGTTATAGGTTTTGTTTACACCTTTTGCTTAAAAACTACTTTTAAATGATACTGTTTTTTTTTTTTTTTAAGAGAAATTGAAGTATCAGTCCCTTACATTTGGCCTAATTGGAGCTTTGGTCCCCAAACTAAAAATATGTTAGTATTTGTCCCTAAACATGTTACAACGTGGAGCAATGATCCTTTTGGGTAACTTCGTTAAAATTTCTTTTCAAACTAAAACATTTAAAGTGCAATTAAGGTAGGGAAGTTCTAATGGAGTTACCCAAACGGACTATTGGTCCACGTTGATGAGTAGATTTTATATTATATTTTTAACCCTATTCTTAGTATATTTTAGTTAATATTTTGGAAGAATTTTGACACTTTGAATTGTATTTCTAATACAGGACTTTCAACTTCTTCTGAAGCAAAACGTGGTCAAATGGATGAATTTTGGAGTAATTCCAGTTGGAGGATGTTTGTGAGTCAATTGGCTTGATTGTATCAAAATTTGGAATTTTTCTACCTAGCGGTGATTTTCTGGCAATAAAATAAAGAAGCGATGTGCAGTGCTAAAATAGTGACGTTTTGGGCTTGAAGTGCCTTTTTGGAGCCCATAATAACCTCGGATGAGTTCGTGACCTTCTGGAGATGTGTTTAGAACGTCTTGATCTTCAAAACAACGTGGGCCATATTTGGAGGATATTTGAGGCTAAAACGTGGCTGGACAATTGCTTGGCAGATTCTCCTAACTTAATTAGGACTTTATTTTTTTTAAGATATTTCCCTATTATTTGGTTTCCTAGTTGGAATAAAAGACCTGGTTCTTGGGGATTGTGGTTTAGGCGTAGGGTATAAGATTTTGGCCGGCCACAATTTTGTGGATACGCTTTCTTTTATGCAACTTTGAAGACAGAAGAATTGCTAGGGTTTTTCAAAGGCTTTCAGATTTTCTACTCCAAGGTGCTTTCATTCTTATTCACTCTAATGATATTTTCTTTGATTTTTATTATGATTATGTGTAACTAATTCCTTTGCTAGGGTTAGGCCATGAGTCTTAGCATGAATATGTGATTTTATTAATTTTCTTATGAATGGATGCATGCTTGCTTTGAATTATTAATCACCGCGATTAAAACTATCTATATATTTTAATGATTGATCACCATTATGATATTTAGACAAGTAATTTGATACAATTTATGTTGGAACATCATCCTGAAATTGAGGAGGGCTTATTGTGATTGTAATTGTAAGTTCACTTAAGGCGAACATCACACTCTTAAGGGTTACATGGTTTTTCAAAGGGTTTTCACGAAACTTAATGAGTCTTACATGTTTATATTTGATTTAACATCATAGACGGATTGCATGTTAGATATACGTTTTCGCTTGAACATCACAAGGAAAATATGCATTAGGAAAACCTAACCTTCAAAGCATATATGTGGAAATTCATAAGTAATTGATAGAATTCATAGGATTGTGACGGCTAAACCCTAGATTTCTCTAAATTGTTAATTTTTTCTTCTTTGCTGCCATTATTTCCAAATTTCCAATTTCTTTTATTGTTTATCTAATCTTTTCAAATTCATAAATCTCAAATCTTTGATAAAATCTATTTTAATAATTAATTAAGAGTTAGTTTAATTACAAATTAGTCAAACAATTTTTGAGGACAACGACCTTGCAAGAGCATTTATACTACAATTATTTTGTATTCTAGTAAGTATTTTCAGTGATTTTAACCCTATTTGTGCAGGTACTAAAAATGCTATCAGTTGTGATAAGTTCGAACACCATCACTCACATATTTTCCATTCAAGGACCATGCTTCCAACATATCTCATTTTAATTTGGGTTTTAATTTTCTTTTAACCAGTAAATACTTTGAGAATCATTTCTATCATTATTAAAAAATCGCAGATTTATGTAGACCTGTGATGCAGGCTGGTACACTTTGTTTTTGTTTTTTGTTTTTTTTTTTTTTTTTTTTTTTGGTTCCCTTATGGGCAGAGAACTATATAGGACAAAAAATGTATTGTAAATGGATCATTTTACATAGTTTCGTTTTAAGAGAGTACAATACTTGCACTTACCATTTGTTTCATTACAGGACGACACCAAAACTGGGGAGCAGTTCGCTTTTTGGCCTACAGGAGACTCTGGTTTTCAGCAAATAACTGGAATTACATCTCAAACTTGTGACATTGAGCATACATCAAGAGCTTATGGCGTTGAGACTGACTTTAGCGCAAGCGGAAAATGGAAACACTGATTCATCCCCTAAACTATGGCGTTGAGACTGACTTTAACTTGGCGCAAGCGGAAAATGGAAACACTGATTCATCCCCTAAACTATCAATGTGTGTCTCTGACCAATCTGAATATATAGCGGTCATTGAGAACCATCCAGTTGGGGAAGGTTTGGGATCGATTCAGAAAGAAGAAATGGATGTAAACCATTCTCATTCTGTGGAAAACGTCACATGTTTAATAGATGTCCTTGTTTCTGCTCCAAGCAAGATACAGGACGCTTCCATTATAGAATTAGAAGGTTCTCATGTGCATGACGGGAACAAAAATGGCGATTCTCAAGACCATGATGCTTTCCATGATGGCAACGGAAGTTGTCAAGACCATGATCAGGTGCATGATGGCAACAAAAATGGAGGTTCTGAAGACCATGGTAAGGTGCATGATGGCAAAAATAGAGGTTCTCAAGACCATGATAGATTGCATCATGGCAACAAAGCTACAGGTTTTCAAGACCATGATAAGGTGCATGATGTCAACGTAAATGGAGCTTCTCAAGACCATGATAAGGTACAGGATGGCAACGAAATTGGAGGCTCTCAAGACCATGATAAGGTGCTTGATGGCTACGAAAATGGAGTTTCTCAAGACCATGATAAGGTGCTTGATGGCTACGAAAATGGAGCTTCTCAAGGCCATGATGAGGTGCAGGATGGCAACGAAAATGGTGGCTTTCAGGACCATGATAAGGTGCAAGATGGCAACAGAAATGGAGCTTCTGAACACCACGGCATGGTGCAGGAAGCGGCTCCAATTCCCTCGTGCCAAGAAAATCCTGATGTACAAATGGATCAAGACTCCGATATGGTAGACAACAGGACAGTCTCATGTGATGATGATGTTCAAATGTCCGATGGACCAACGCCTGATGATGGTCTGATGCCCGAGTCGCTAGAGCAACCCGCTGCAAAAAGGCTGCGGCTTACACCTCCAGTTTAAGGGGATAAATGTGTCACAAGAAGCCTTGTTGAAGATTGAAAGTCGTGAGGCCACCAATGCTCTTTTTGCAAGTATTTTGATAGTTATTTCAGGCCAAAGAAAAGGTATTTGGATAGGTATTTGACTTGAATGGTCTGTCCATATGAGGTATGTGGGATGCATTTAGAGAAGAACAGTTGGGTAATGGGATGCCTTTGATCTAAAATGTTAGTGAATTTATTCGTTCGAAGAGAAAAAAAAAAAAAAAAAAAAAAAAAAAACTTTGATTTAATCTTGCTGAATGGTGAGGTTCTCTGCATCTTCAAGGGTGACCGGTAAAATTTATACCGCGAAAAATGTGTCATGTTTAACAGACGTGTTTGGACCAATGTGCCCAACACATTTCAGCCTTGGACCACATGTTGGCGCTCGAGTTCAACCTACAAACGTTGATATACTTAATTATTACGATCTGGTAGTATTGCTCTTCACTTGTAAGTGAGATATTTTAGGTTCGAATCTTGTAAATGACTAATTAGATGTCATATTAGGTTGTCTATTATGTGGCTTAACCGAACTCCTCCCTCCTCTTAGTGTAAAAATACATCGTTGTACTAAAGAAAAAAACCTATAATCCATTGGAGTTGCTTAGATGTTTTTCTTTTCACTTATGTGCCTGGTAGAGATGCCCAAACTTGTTAACTTGTAAAAGAATAAACAATTGCAAGTAAGCCTAGGACCGGGAGGGGATGTCCCAATCAAAGGTTCTCCGACGGTCAAGTTACTAAGCAATATTAAACTCAAGCAATAGGCAAGAGAACAAGTACGAAGGCATTGCGTCACCAGATATGAACCCTAAAATGGTGTATTTATACTAGTGGAGGAGATGAGATTTTAGGATAGTAGAATCCATATTAAACTGAAAGAATCCCAAAGGATATCTTAAAAGTAGATTTTGCATCCTCTTAGGATTATGATTATTTGCGGCACATGTCAATTCTTAGATTGTAAGGACTCTAAGATTATAGGAAACACATTGATTCCTTGCTAAATTAGGTTCCCAAATCTTGCGGAACAAAAATGGTATATCTTAGCGAGGTTGATGAACTTCACCCACAGACTCCGGAACAGGATGATGGTGGCATCGCTGAATAGTTTAGCCAACTATGCAATGAAGGCTGTTGAGTTCGTCATCAAACTTCTGAGGTAGGCGTATTCTGATTTGTCTTACTCTGACAATAGAAATTATGGTCCATAATTGCCCCTAGCTAGGCATCGAATGACTTGGTCCCCTTAAAAATGGGTAGTTACCTAGAGATCAAGCATCTCAGAGTAAGCCGGAATACGTACGGTTTTCTTCTTTCAGAGCGTGGAGTCTTAACTTCATTTCTTGTGAACTTTTGGCGTTCCAGATTCAGTCACACGATCTTGAATATTGTCATGTTACTTTTGCACATTGTTAATAAGGAGCAGCCTTCTATATCACTGAGCTATCTTCGTTCTTCGAACACATGAATTTATAGGCAAAACTTTTCAGATTCAATGGTGAGATCTTCTGGCACATTGCCTTTAAATAGCTCCAATGTAACCATGGTTTTTCCTCTAGCTTAGCCTTCAGTTTTCATCATGAAACCTCCTTTTCTATTTCATGCTTCACATTCCAAACCCAATTCTCTCTTTGAAACTTCGATGATTAAGACTTTCAACCAAGAAACTTACCTTAGCCATATATGTCTTTGTCAAGCAAGATTAAGTGAAACAAAGATAAACCGTAACATTTCAATAGCCATTCCTGCTTGCAGTATGTTCCATAGCATTCATCCCTTGCCATCTTGCCAGCGACATCCTCCTCGTAGTCTTCACATAAGGGTTTAGCTTTAGAAGTGCGTCGAGATTCTTGAGAGGGTTATTTATCATTGGAGCCATCTTCATCTCTCTTCATTGGAGTGTTCTAACAACGACTGAACTTCATCAAAGTTAATGATCCCGGCCAAATCTGTTTTATAGCTTCCATATGAAAATTTGCATGTTAAGGGTAAAGGCTTGTCTTCCTCAAGTAATTGTACCTTTTTTGCCCTGTTCATGAGACTTTATAACAAACATGTATTTACACATTATAAACACTTGCAATTTTATTCATGTTATTTATCCTATTTGAATAAAATGTTGGAAATTTTTCCATCCTTTGCTTCCCAATCATGGAATAATCTGGTAATTCGACAAATTTCTTCAAAGTAATTTAACTTCGAAGTAATAAGTAATATAATAGAATATGAGCAAGCTTGTAGGCCGCAGACAGAGCTCAAAAGCCCCCTAAGTAACATTGATTCGGAAAAATGTTACCTCTCAAACTTGGTATCCATGAAGATTCCCACTACGATTATCGGAGTACCACCTTACTCCGACATCGGGTCTAATGGCCATAAAAAATCCTTTTACCATATATTTTTCATAATTTATTTGTCAGATTAAAGATGAAAAAGTGATAAGTCTTACCCAAAATGACTTCCAGAGTTCAGAGTCAAATAAGCGTTCATTTCTCAATATGTTTTCTTGTTCGTTCACCTTGCCCCATTCCGGGTGAGAGGATTTTAGATATGGCTATAACTCAGAAAGAGCTTCCTTCTCAGTCTTGATCGCTGGTTTGTCCCTAGTGACTCTTAAACAAAAGTTCGTTAGGGACTTGGTCACCTGCATGTGGATCGAAAACACTTTTCAAATCCTTTTGCCATACCCTATGTGCCGGACCAGAGTGTTTCCAATCGGACTACACTTAGTTGGCTTGGCTAAGGCAATTCCGCGTATCGGAGCTTTATTGGAATAAAATTCCTCTTGAGGATTTCCTAATCCAGATGCTTCATTCAGACCTGCTTAACATATGGTGTTGCAGAACTTACTTGACTTAGTACGCTAGTTTAGGATAAAAGTTATCATACCCAGGGTTAGGACTCAGAGCCACCCCTCAGATGATTCTCGGATCGCTTTTTCGTTCATTCCCTCGAATGCATAGAGCATAGGTTTGAATGTTATAACTCATAACCCACAACCTTCAGGTTGCATAATCTTTTCGAGAGTTTGATGGTGCACTGGAGTTCTAAGTTAGGGGGCTATGTCCCATGTCCCCATGCCTGTTACCCGTCAACCGTAATCGTGCTTGTTATGCTTCGGTTTTCCCAAACTGCTAACTAAACAATATGCGAAGTTTCAAAGTTCTGTGTTATTTAGGCTTTTTAGGTATTCTCATTACTGCGAAAAAGAAAAAAAAAAAAAAACTTTGAGAAAAGAAAAAACTCTGAGAATTCTTTTATTGAAAAAAGACTTGCGTTGACAAAGGGGGCGTGATTAATCCAAAAAGGATTGCCTACATAAAAAATTTTCATTGGGATTATTCTTTGACAAATAGCCTATGGTGAGGCGATACAGAAATAAGTTCTCTAGGGACTTGTCTACGTGTAGACGGCGACGTGTTAGGCATAGTATTCTATGAGCTTGGTGATGTTCCACCGCTTGGTAATCAGAGTTCCACCCATGCACTCAAGGCTGTAAGCAATATTGAGACTTAAGTAGTAGGTAAGAGAATAAGTATACAGAGATTGATTTACCAGAGATGAACCCTAGAAGGGTGTATTTATACCAGTCGAGGAGATGACCTTTTAGCATAGTAGAATCCATACTAAACCTAGAGAATCCCATAAGATATCTAGGAAGTAGATATTGCATCCTCCTAGGAGTTTGATTACTTGCAGCGCACGCCAATCTTTAGATTATAATAACTCCAAGATTATAGGAAACCTGCTGATTCCTTGCTGGATTAGGTTCCTGAATCTTGTGGTACAAGAATGGTCTATCTTAGTGAAGTCGACAAACGTCAACTTCACCCAATGATTCTGGAACAGGATGACGGTGGCATCGCTGATCCATTTAGTCAACTCCCAATGGAGGTTCTTGAGTCCATGACCTAACTCCTGAGGTAGGCGTATTCAAATCCATCTTACTCCGGCCCTAGAAAATCATGGCCCATAGTCATGATAATGTCTCTGCGAAATGGATGATCTATTGGCAGTCCTCTCTTTAAAGCTGTCCAAGTGATTGTTTTGTCGTAACCGATTATCTTGGCTTTTTCAGTAAGGAACTGCTAAATACACTCCCTAATAAATTAGTCGAGCTCTTGACTACACTGAAGAGATAGTCAGACAAATTATTGACAACATGGACAACATAACTACAATAGGATATGAACTTCTAGATTTTATAAGATTCTACTTTTACGTTTATATAATCCAATTCTTAAAAATAACTTTTTTTGCAACAGAAAGATGTGAACTCATTAATTATGCATCGCAAAAAAGGACCACACATAGACAACATGGTCAAGATAACCATAATAACCTTGTCACATAGGCTATTGACTGATCTTGGATGATGTTGAGAAAAAACAAGGCAAAATGAAACACGTATGTAAGTCTCAAGGGAGGTTGAATATCAACTTTTTAGGCGCAAAATAAGACTCAAATTTGTTTTAGAGGTTGGCAGAGTTTGGTGATAGGATTTTTACCATTTGCAAAAGTAGAGATAAAAACACTTAAAAATTCTTGCAGAGTACCAGGTTGTCGTAATATAGCAGCTCAAGTAAGGTCGTTTTCCACAGGGATTGAATGAATAATTTGTATTTAAAACCAACTCTTAATTCATTATTTAAAACAAATTTTGGAAAATATTGATTTTCAGATTTAAAATAATAAAAACGAATTTAAATTAAAAACAATTAAATAAATCAACTAGAAACCAATTTAAAGAAAATCAATTTGTATAAGCCCTAGAGTTCTGCCATCATCTTAACAATCCTACGTAATTCTTCCAATTACTTATGACTTATCCATGCATATTTTGAAGGTTAGGTTTGTAACATCCCACATCAACCAATGGAGAGGGGGTGATGTACCTGTACATGCCCACCTCCATATAGCATGAGGCCTTTTGGGAACTCACTGGTTTCGAGTTCCATCGGAACTCCGAAGTTAAGCGAGATTGGGCAAGAGCAATCCTAGGATGGGTGACCCACTGGGAAGTTCTCGTCTGAGTTCCCAAAAACAAAACTGTGAGGGCATGGCCGAGGCTCAAAGCGGACAATATCGTGCTACGATGGAGTCGAGACTAGGATGTGATAAAATGGTATCAAAGCCACTCTATCATTCAGTGCGAGTGTGCAGACGAGGACGTCGGGTCCCTAAGAGGGGTGGATTGTAACATCCCACATTAACCAACGGAGAGGGGGTGATGTGCCTTATATGTACATGTCCACCTCTATATAGCACGAGTCCTTTTGGGAACTCACTGGGTTCGGGTTCCATCGGAACTCCGAAGTTAAGCAAGTTTGAGCAAAAGCAATCCTAGGATGGGTGACCCACTGGGAAGTTCTTATCTGAGTTCCCAGAAACAAAACCATGAGGGTGTGGCCGGGGCCCAAAGCGGACAATATCGTGCTACGGCGGAGTCGAGACTAGGATGTGACAAGGTTTGCCTAATACATATTCTACTTGGAACCTCCAACATAGAACGTATATCTAATATGCAACCCGTCCAGACATTCGAATCAAATATGAACATGAAAGACTCATTAAGTTTTATGAAAACCCTATGAAAAACCATGCAACCCTTAAGACGTGGTGTTCATCCTAAGTGAAATTACAATTATTAACCACAAGAAGCCAGCGTCAATTTTAGGGAACCTTCCGACCAAAATTGCATCAAATTACTTTTCTAAATATCATAATGGTCACGAATTACTAAGACAATTGGATAGTTTAAACCAGTGCTTAATAATTCAAAAAATGCATGCATAATATCATAAGCAAATTGAAAAGAAACTACACATTCTTACTAAGGCTCGTGGCCTCGCCCTAGCAAAAGAAACTAGCTGCAAACAATCATAAAATAAAATATTATTAAAAATATGGATAGAAAACACCTTGAAAATAAACTTGAATCTTCAAAACCTAGCAAAGTATTGATGCATGTGTTCTCCACCTCCTAATGGTTAAAAAGCCTTATTTATACTACTACAAAATAAAATCCTACCTAGAAAATGTCTTCTAAAAACCAGGAAACATAATAGAATAATAAAACAGAAAATAAAAGGTTTCATGTTTGAACTAAAATTCAGACTTCTTAGAAAATCAAACTTTTGACTTACCAAATCAACTCCGATTTGGTCCCAAAAGGTATCTTTTGAATGCTTAAGACGTCCACTACAAATCCTTAGAAGAAATCTTCCTTAAAATATGTCATCTTGACCTCCAGAATACCAAAAACGTGCAGAAACGTCAATATGGGAAAGTTGCGCACTGGGCCTTCTTTTCTTTGCCACGGTCAAATGGCTAAGTAGAAAAATCTGAAACATTGATACAATCATCTTGAAAGACTCACGAACATCCACCAATTAGAATTGCTTCAAAATTCGTCCATTCAATTACTTTATGCTCAAGAGGAAGTCAAATGTCCTACCTTGAAAATACATAATAAAGTATCAAAATTCACCAAAATAACCAATAAATTATTACTAAGATTAGGGTAAAATATATAGTAAAATATTGACTCATCATTTGGTTCGGGGCGGTTCTGGGGTGAAAACCAAAACCAAAATCGAATTTTTTTGCTGTGTGGTTCAATGCGATTTTGAAGCTTGAATCGAAATAGAACCAAACCATTTAGTTGTGGTTCAGTTCAATTTCAAATGGTTTTGGTTTCAATTTCATACCATTTGCAAATTTGAAAAGAAATTCATGATCACCAAGCTAAAATTCTACTTCAAATAAAGTTCAACATCACAAGGCCTTATGGCATTACTTTAGAAAAATCCAATTGAAAAGGTTAAGTTCTAAAACTAAAGTTTACACAAATTTCAACATCAAAATGCCTTGTGGCATTAGTAGTATAACCAGAAAGAAAAATAATAATAATTGTTTCATACAGTTCAACAAAAAGGTTTTGGTGCTTCAATTTTTAAGTCACTACTTTACATCGTTCAACCATCTTTCCCTTTCCCTTTGGAAATTTACTTTTCGAAGGTTGAGGAGGCCTTTGAGCTTGTGAACAAGCTTGAAAAGGCAATACTTGGGAAGACCTTGGACCTTGTGAAAGTGAAACTGATGGATGAGACGCCAATAAACCTTCTGAACTAGAAGGTTGAGATTGCCTTGAAACTTGTTGTTGTGGTTGTGGATTAAGAGTAAAAGAGGCGATACTTGAATTCAAATTGGCCAACTCTACACAATACAAATACATGAACAATATAAATTACATTAGTTGTTATAAACTTTAAAAATTCTACAAAAATTTCAACACACATTGAAAAAATAAAACTAAGAAAGCCTACAATATAAATTACCTAATATCAGTATTAAATTAACTACCCCTTTTTATTAATTTTCTAGGTACTTGAATTTTCCATTTTTATTTGCTGTTTTCATTCCACATATGTAGACAACAACGAATCAGTTACAATCAAAGAAAAACAATAACCTTCCACCCATTCAAGTACATAAATGGATGGAAAATTCAGTTCACACAAGTAGTTTATTTCATTCCATCCGTAAAGATAAACAACAACAACTAAGAATCAACAAAAAGTGAGTATCAAACATAAGCTACCTGTTCTACAGAAACCCACCAACCCTAATTCACACGTATTTAAAACTCAAACTCATGCATGCATCGATTGTTTGCAAGAATCATATATATCTATCTCATAATTAATTTGTATCTAAATTATACAACCCAGGAATTAGAAAGATTTTTTTTGTTTTTTTTTTTTTTCAAAATCATTGGAATCGACGAGATAAGGGTTTGGAGAAACGTGTATAAACTTGACGCCCCAAAATCGTTGGAATTTGACAAATTCGTTTCAAAAACTATACAATGGTAAGTGCGGAAATTCGTGCGGAACTTATGGACATAGACACGAAGATATAGTCTCTTAGAAGACCCCACCTAGGATGATGTAACACTACTAGACTCCTTTCAAATCAGCCTCATAAAATTGGACTCATATTAAAAGACCCCTTTATTTAATTTTTAATTTTTGGAGTTCGATTTTCGGCTCCAAGTCCCCACCCTTTGAGGCAGAAATTAATATTTAAGCGTAACTACAAAACCTCATAACTTTTGGCCAGTCATCCCCAACAAATCCACAAGACAAGACAAAACTGAACTAGAGTCCAAATTCATAGGCCTGCATTTGTATAAAGCTTTGGATACAATACAAGTTATATTCTAGATCAATGTCATGCTGTGCATGGAATACAAATATAGTTTTACATATAACACACAGTCACAGCACTTCCCCAGCGATGTCTTCTAATTTGTTTTCGAGTTAAGATACACAGATCACTCGTATCTTACAATAACTCGACTTTATTTAGAAATTATAAGGAAGTGCAACTCTCCATCCGTCTCCACTTCTTAACCAAGGAAACTAAGGAAGCCTGAAAATACCAAATACAAAAACCGATTAGCAATTCCATTGAAGGTGTTGAAGAATAAAAGCATCGTAGCGGTACAATTATATTTAACGAACATCATGAATCTGTTATACGCTGAGGAAAAGAGCCAAACAGCCCAAAGAAACATGAGGTACAGGAGAAAGGAAAAAATAGCACAGCCCAGATGAGCGCTTGAGCTAATCATAGGCTAAAAACAAAACAAAAAACCTACATCAAAACAAAACGGCAAAGAAGGCGTGGCAACCCCACTGCTATCTTTGAAAACAAGCTTGCGACACGAAGGAGATGGACTATGTTCAACGCAAGCTTTCATTAAGACCTTTCCTAAATGGCTTTTTTCCTTAAAAGAAAAGAAAATTAAAGTTTTTAAAATTGGTAATGTGTAAAATTCAACCTGATCATGCTGAGATGAATAAGCTTGAGAAAACAACCCATGATAAGCAAGCAAAACCTCCGCGTGGACAACAAAATATCCCTTATCTACACAGCTCCCTAGTATTTTTACTACCTTTATTCTACGTCGTATCATCAAATAAGCACAAGCCAAAAGTCAAAAGCAAAAGCCAACAGCTAACAGCATATATATTAGCAAGCGGCTCACCCCAGTTTGAGAGACAAGATGTCGGAGCAGTCATCTTCGAGAGAAAAAGCACTGCTGGAGCAGGTGGTGACATTTGTGGCTGATTCAGATGTCACGCCTTCTTCTCCAACATTATTCAGGTTGTCCAACTCCATGATCCCTGCAGGTCCGATATCTCCTCCAGCGGATAACATCACCATCTGCCATGCAAAAGAGTAATGTTAGAGAGATTAAATTTGTAAATTAAATTAACAACAAGAAGAAAAAAAGATTGCCCAAATTTAAATTTTTTTTAATTAAGATTTATTGTCTTCATTAAATAAAAATAAAATAGAAGAAAAAAATATAGATGGCGGTAGTTTCTTACCCTCTGCTTTAGCTGGTTGTTAGCGTCTATAAGCTCAGCTCCCTGCATGTATAATCAGGGCATGGAAGAGGACAACAAAGAAAAAATTCATTAATAATTAATTAATGTTTATTATTTTTCTTTTCGGGAAATTCTTGACTATTTGTATATATTTGTGGCTGTTTCATAAATAGACACAGACAACAATCATCTATTTAATTACAAACCTTATTCGCATGTGCCATAATCTCACTCATAATCTTTTTTTCCTGAAATAAACGGAAAATTTGGAATTAGATGTTGCTATATATACACGTATAATCCAAAATATTTCTTTAGTCAAATAACCTAATTGAAGTACGGAAAATACATGGTTCAACTCTACATTCTTTACAACCAAGAAAAAAAAAGGTCAAGTCTACATTCAATTCGACCAAAGTCTCAATTTGAAGGATACGCCTGCAAAAGAATAGTTGGATTAGAAACTTGTTGACTTTTTTATTAGAGTAATGTTAGGAAAATTAAGAGTTGGTTTGGTATTGCTGTGCTTTGAAAAAAAACTGATTCTACTATGTTGTGAGAATAAGCAGCTGTGAAATAAAGCAGCAGAGTGTTTGGTAAACTTTTTTGTAAAAATGCTTTTGAAAGAAAGAAAAAAAGCAGTATTATAGTGTTTGGTAAACTTTTATGTAAAACAGATGTGAAAAAAAACCGGTTTTTCAAAGTTGAGTTTTGCAGCTTTTTGTTTTTGGCTTTTTTCCACCAAAAACTGTGAAAAAAAAAACTGAAGCTGAATGTTTATCAAACACAAAAATAGCTCCCAGTTTTTTTTTATACCATTTTTTTCAGAATCACCTCAGTACCAAACCAGTCCTAAATATTGTAAACTAAATCACATGGAAATTGATGATTCAATTATAGAAAAACTAATGAAAATGGCTTGAAAACTTTGAGTTTTAATGATAAGGACAAAATAAAGAGTAAAGTAAATAGTACCAGGATTGACATTTTAGTGTAAAAATGTGGTTTTTCGTTAAAGTGAACAGTATCGTGGGTTTTTTATTAAAACTCCCTTCAATTATTACTTTAAGTATTGATTAACGTGCTTATTTCTTATTAGTGACACATCATTTAGTTTGCAAATTCAATTACAAATTCAGTCTACTTAGCATTACTCTTTTGATTAAACACGATGATCAAAAAAGGTGTATATATACGCGGCATAATGTGTCAATCTATTTATTTGATTAAGCTCGGTCATAGCTCACTCAAGCGTGGGGCAAAAGGTTAAAGAGGAGGAAGTGCAGCATTATTTTATGGAGAGTTAATAACAAATTTCTTATTCAAACAAAATTAAGATATTTGTCTTATTCTTTCCAAGAAAATTATTTGAACAATGACTAATTAAGTAATAAATCTTCCGGATAATTGCACAATAATATGTATTAAGCATCAATTTTAAGTAATACCTTAGTTTTAATCACACGGCCAATGCTTGCTTCCACCAATTTTTCTAACTTGTTCAGTTGATCCAGATCCAAGTCTTGAAGGTCCTCACCCTTCATCTGCCTTTTGCATGCCAAACCAGTTTCAGCAGACTCGTCAAACGATCATACCAGCTTAATTAACCACCATATATCTTACAAACAAATCGATAAATTATAATTACCTCAGCTTGCGGGTCTTATCCTCAAGTTCCTTACTCAGCCTCATCGTGTTTTCTTTCTCCAACTAATTAAATGGAAAATATAAATATATTTATATCTTCATTTAGATAATCTACTCTTTCACATGAAAAGCTTATAAACATCAGGCCCAAAAAGAAACAAGAAAGAAAATAAATGTAATCTGTCACATGAAAACTTAGAATGTTCAATGGAAGTTAAAACTATAACTTAAGAGTCATTACTCAACCCCAAGTACTTGCACATATTTAGTCTAACAGGCCAACCCTGCCGCATGCATATATAGAAGTCTAACTTGTAATGCTGTAAAAATATATTCCGATGCTCCAAGTGCATATCACAGAAAACATTCACTTGACACAATTAATTGTTGTACCATTAAAAATGTAAATTTTAGAGCAAAGATGGAAAAAAAGAAAACTAATATTGAACTGAATTACCTGCAGTTGATGAAGCGTGATTTGATCCCATTTTTCCCCACCAGTATGTGATTTGTACCTTGCAATCACATCCTTGGTACTTGACAACATAAAGGGATAAACTATAATTAGTATGTTTCATTATTACTTATAAATTATTCACACAAAAATAAAATTATATCCAACAAAAAACCAATAGTGCTTGCATGTTGCACTTGCAAACACTTTTGCAATAATCCCAATAAATATTAGTACTTGCAAACACTTTTCCTTATTAATTGGAAGATTAATCTAAGTACTTAGGACTTAATTAGGAGGCTTATTGTTGTATCATTGATTCCACACAATTGTCAAGTCTTCACTATCTGCTGATGCAAGAATGTTGAGTTACATCTTCCAAGTCAACCCTCTTTCACATTTGGTTCCTACGATAGGTCACTTAAGACCACTCTCCGGAACACTGGAAACCTCCTCCGAAAGTGGGGTGGGGGTGTTTATATTCTATACTATAGTACTTAAATCCTTAATTTAGCTTCGTAATCAATCGAATACAAGATGTCAGAAGGCCTCTATTACATGACAACAAGCCACTTGATCTTGGACAAATATCCTTAAATTCCATAACCCAACGCTTGTTAAGACAAGATTTCATCAATCACTCAAAACTAATGCTAAAGCCTAAAGGACTATCCATAAGCTATGTAAAACTTAACATGCACTTAGTTGACTATAATTTAGCGCAATATTGGCAATCCAGTCTCATGTTTACAGCAAAAATCAAGGCACCTAACCTTGAATATATTTCATTGATGTATCGCGTTCAACTTTTGCTGCATGAGATTCTCAAATGAGAAATCCTCTTTTCACGTCCACTCAAGGCGATGCAAGCACATAACATATTGAAAATTTTAGTATGATAAATTGTTTAATATTTTATATTTAAATAGGTTAGGAACTTTACATTATGTTTGGATAAGGAAAATAAACATGGAATTTTGGTAAAAGTCAGAATTTATAAATTGGCAGGCACCAATTCTCTTGTTTGGATTTATAAACATAGAAATTTAGAATTTCCGTGTGGAAAAAAAAACTTAGAATTTGGGACCTCCAAATCCCAAGTTCAAATTACATGTAAATAGGTGTCATTTCTTAATTTCTGTGATTGAGAGTTTAAAAATAACAAATTTCGTATTCAATTGCATTGTTCTTTTAGGTTAACCAAACAAGGAAATTTACAAATTCTAGAAAATAAAATCTTGTCATTTCAATTTCCGTCATTTGTAAATTCCTTAATAATCTTAAATTTCTTCACCCAAACATAGTGAGTTTATCTAGATTTAGACAACGTTATTACAAGTGGTCTATAAATTGCATAAACATATCACACACACGGGCATTATATATTATTTGTTTGATACATATGGAGAGAAGTTGGGCTTGTAAAGAGGTGAATGAAACCTAATTTGTGTCCCCCAATTTTCAGTTTTGCGAGAACAATGTCCAAAACATCTTGAATGAGAGTTAAGCTATAAAGAATGCTTTGATATTCTTATAGCAACTCAAAAATGCTTGGTTTGATGTTATGTTAAAACTTTGGACTACAAAAAAAATGTTAGGTTAAAATGCTTCCAGTGCTTATGAAGTGTATCCGACGGCTTTGAGAAAGATTTTTAACTATGAAAAAAAATATTCTAAACTTTCCATGAGAGCTTGAGATGTAGGATCCCAAAAGCCCCAAGTTTAGCAAATAAGTTGGTGGTTGGTGTTGGCTAAACTTGGATTTAGCATCAAGGCTAAAGCCTTTACGGTGGTCGACGAATTTTGTCCATGGAGCTTGGGTTTCAAAAGAGAGTAAAAAGAGCTTAAAAACTTGAGGTTATGGAAGAAAATATTGTAGTCATACTTGTGGATGGCTTATTGGGAAGCTTGCTGCAGCCAAGGTAGATTTCTTGCAGCTAGGAGAAGGAAGTCCTCCATAACTACAGTTGAAGGAAGTAATAGAAAATGCTTTATACTAAAATGCTTGCAGTACCAACATCCTCTCCTCTTGTTAATACACGCCCAATATATAGAGGTTGAACCACTATCTCATTTCTAGTGAGCAAAAAGAGGCGTTAGAACAACAACAAAGCCTTATCTACTAAGTGGAGTCGACTATTGTGTTTTTGATGACCTGCTCTTGTATGTGAACACATGCTCTTCTATCTTTTTAAAGAAAGTGTTGGCTAAAAAGAGATCACATGCAAAAAAAAATCCAAGATGTTGGCCAAAAATATATATATATATATATATATAGAGAGAGAGAGAGAGAGAGAGAGAGAGAGAGAGAGGTTGAAAAATTATCTTCTTTATAATGAGTAAGAAGAGGCGTTGTAAACTACTTGCTTTCAGTGGGTATCGGAATCTTCTTATATCTTATGAATGAAAGATACAAACTATTTAAAAAGACACTAAAAAATCTCTCTCTTACCCATCAAGGGAAAGCTATATCACATGCTCTCTTGTATATTTTTAAAAAAAATTATTGGCTAAAAAGAGATGATATGTCAATGCAAAATTCAAGATGTTGGCAACAACAAAAATATAAAAAAAAGAAAAAAAAAAAAAAAACAATGCACAGAGGTTGAAAAACTATCTTCTTTATAGTGAGTAAGAAGAGGCGCTGAAAACTACTTGTTTTCAGTGGATATCGAAATCTTCTTATATCTTATAAATGAAAGATATAAATTATTTAAAAAGACACTAGAAAATATCTCTTTCTCTTACTCATCAAGAGAAAGCTATAAATTTTTCAGTAGTATCGGAATCTTCTTATATCTTATGAATGATAGTCATAAATTATTTAAAAAGACACTAAAAAGTATATCTTTCTCTTGCCCATCAAGGGAAAGCTATAAGTAATGGATTGGACTTCCATGCTCCAAAAGTAGCTTTTTGTTCTTTCTTAATTTACAAAAGCATTTTCAATTTGTTCCTTTGTTGCTTTAGATAATGTTTAGAGAGGTGTGTTTTTGGGAAACACATATTTTTGGGTCAAAATCAAAGGAATACTGGTAGTAGACCGAGGTGAGGTGAGCTCTAGCACGGTAATGACAGATCATGCACAAGGCAATGAGATTTGAGTGGTTCGCCTTAGATGGGCTGCATCCACTTCGTGGTGTATTTAGTAATTATTTGACAGTGTATCCCACTTTGAAATCTGTTAGATTCAGCAGACTTTTACAAGAAGAATGGGAGAGATGAGAGAACTGGAGAGTGGTTCCAGCGGAAGTAAGGCTAATCTTTTGCTTGGAGGTGGCTGCTTTATTTATCCATGAGAGACCCCACAGCTGGTTGACATGTGGCTCAAGGAGAGTATATAAAAACACGAAAAAGGATCCTCGCTGCATCCTTTTTCTGGAGATCTTAGGAATCCCATGATCGCAACCATTCATTGTACATCGTGCGGTCAGTTTTCGTTAGGTACTATTTATATTTAATTTTAAATTTTAAATTTTGAAATGATTTCTGACCGCACGATTTACGATAAACAGTCACGATCACGGTATCCTTAAAATCCCCAGGAAAATGATCTAGCAAGGATCACCGGATCCCTTTCCTAAAGGGATGTGCTATCCACACACCCTATTTTAGGTCTCCTCACCATATCCTTTTACTAAAGGGGTGTGCGGATCGCACACCCCATTTTACTTCTCACATACCCCTTGATAATTTCTGTATGTTGATCTTCTTCAATTTATCCGATCCGAAGATCAAAAATTAAAAAGATGTGTGAGAAATAAAATAGGATGTATAGATATCACACCCCTCCCTGAAAACACAACTGGTCAAAAATAGATTTTTCCAGCCTCGAGACACCAATATCTAATCATATCTGATCGACATCTGGCATCTCAAAATGTAATGGGCTGTAGGGGCTTTGTGGTCGACACGTGTCCTAAAGATAATGCCCAAGCCGACATGGTACTAGTCAACAATTAGAACAAGAGCAACTCGGCTCAGGTCTCTCGGTTGTGACCAAGCTTAGTAGAGCTGACATGGATAATCAGTATCCCGCTTCCTGTGGCCTGGCTATCAACGAAGGGATTGAGGTCAACTCGCCATGGTTATCAAGTGGTGATGACCACAGCTTAGTCAATTTGACATTGATGATGTCCCTGAACCCTAAATTCACGCGACTATTCGTTATTGGTGCATCCGACTTGGAAAAGGAATAGGTAAAATGTCTTATAGTAAAAATGGGAAGATCTAGATAACAAAAAGCTTATTCACTCTCTACCAAATAGATGTGTTAACGTCTTAAAAGCTAGTTTCAAATTTTCATCAACAAAATAAACGATGTAAAAAACACCATCATACAATAAGGGCATCTTTTCTACGCCCGCTGATTTGGAATGACAGATTGATATGCTAAATCCTATATAGTATACATTCCAGGTTAAAAAGACCACTTTAGAAATGGTATTTTAGATTTATTAATATTGTCATCACGTACTATGTAGAGGGAGTTTTTTTTTTAACTAAAACAAAAGCACAACTTTATCTAAATTCTTATTCCACAATTACATTTCTACACATTAATCTCACCCTTCCTCTCATGCACATTATTTATGGAAGTACGTTTTAATCTTTGCAACTACTCAAGTTCGTTTATTGTTTCATGCATGCATATGAAAAAACAGGTTATATATGGCCAATAGCTGCACCACTCATTGCCCTACTTGACGCATGCATACATTTTTCCTTCTCAAAGGTCCTCAATGCTTCTATGATGAATTCCCAAGTTTTCATCATATTACTTTATTCCTAGTAAGAAAAATCCAAAGCATATATATATATATATATATATATATATATATATATATAATATTGAATGTTCGTATTTTAAGTCCTTACAAACTAACCGTCATTGAAGTTTAGGTGGGGAGGATGAAGGACAACTTTTGGAACATAACCCAACATCATGTGTTGAAGTTGACATGGATATACATATACATATACATATATTGGTATGTATATATATTGTACGTAGATAGTGTTACACTCTTTTACTAGCTAGAGTATTTTATAATCATTTTATGTTGTCAGATTATTTATTCATAACTGATTATTTGAATTCCAGTAAGCATGATGGTCTAAGAAATAATATACCGTGTATCTAGAAAGGGAAACGGTGTACCCCATTTAAAAGGATATAGACATATATTCTTCATTTCATAAACCCCAACTAATATTTTATATATTATTATATACAACCAATTTGTGATAGGTGGGGGAAATCAGATTAAAGCGGCAAGATAAACTATGATACTGTAAAATAGTAATAAGATTACATAATTCACTAGACAAGTGGCTTTTATATATATAGATTTCTGCATGGCGGACACGATTGCATTTAGCATGAAAAGGAAAGAGATCAGCAAGTAACTTACAAAGAATCACCACAATTCCACCTATTGAAAGCATGCAAAACTACTAAAAATGTTCTCGAACTTGGACACCTAGCTAGAAGTTGTCTCAATCAAAAAGTACACCTCACTTTCCTGAACGGGAAATTATATATATAGTTATCCTCGTACTAGCTAGTTAACTCTCTCTCTCTCTCTCTCTCTCTCTCTCTCTCTCTCTGGGTGAAGGTTTTTGGATTCTCTAGCCTTTCTTCTGTGCCTTATCTAGCTGACACCATAAACTATGTGTCATTGTGTACATGCGTGGATTATCTATATAGCTAGTTAGCACCTTCCTCCTTATAAATATATATATATATATAATTTTTTGATCCAAATGCTGAATCTCTCTCTCTCTCTCACTCTCTCTGAGACAGAAGTTAGGTCATGTACATGGTTATATTAACTTGTTCAGGTAAGGAAAATTCGAAAGAATTTAGAAGGCGGTGGGAAGTTGTACTGTATTGGTACCTGGAGCTTGAGTAATCAAAGAGCTTGCCAGTTTGAGAAAAGATGATAACAGCAACTTCAGCTTCACACAGAATCGATAGCTCTTCAGCTTTCTTGAGAATCCCTCTACTCCTCTTTGAGAAGGTCACCTGCCTTGCAGGAAGGTAGTCGATCCTCCTGATCTTTATCTTCTCTTTCATCCTTTCCACCATTTCTTGCTACCCCTGCAAAAACAATTAATTCAAATAAATAAAATAAAACAACCACTTTTCACATATATATAATCGTCCACAAACTCAAAAACTAGCATATATTTTTTTTTATTTATAATTTTAAAGATTCTTGACCTCAAACCCTAGAATCTCAGATCTAAATAAGAGATTATTGCCCTCAAACCCTAGCATCTCAGATCTATAAAGAAAAACAAACCCCAGAAAAACCCACCACAATCAACTGTCCAACAAGCCTACAGTATCTACCATAAGAAGAAGAAGAAGGGGGAGGAGGAGGAAGACCATACATAAATTAATTACACTGGGTTTTCCGTTGTTACTTGTTTACCTTCGTTGGGGGGTTTTAGGTCTCTGAAGTTTCGGGAAATTTGCAGAACAGCGAAAGAAAAGCCAGCAATTCTGGAAAGAGAAGAAGAGAGATGAGAAAGAGTTGGGATGCTGCCGGCAGTTCAAGAAAGGAAAGGTTGCTAAATTAATTTTCCTAATTATGGAAAAATAGGACATATCTTCCTTTGGTTATCACTGTTTGTGCCTTTTTGTCTTTTTAGATATTTTTTGGGAACATAAGGTTAGAAACGCGGAACACAAATCAGTTGGTGTGATGAGTCATGAATGCGATCACGACCGTCTATAATATGTGGACTGGACGACAGTAAGGCTGGGGATTCTACGTTTAATTCTTTTTACGTACCACACCGTTGATTTTCCTCACCCACTTCGTCTCTCTCACTTCTTTATCCCAAACAGCAGCGGTAGCAGCGATCGCTGCAACACTTGCTGGCAATACTCACTCCCACTTGTGAAACAAAACTCCCCAAACCCCAACCCCCGAGTTTCAGTAGCCGCATTCTCCAAACCCTCTTCCACCATTGCCATCCCGGCCCCTTCGTCTTCTCTGCAAAGCAATATCTTCATATGATTTTATTAATTTAAATAAATTATGGTCAGTGGTTCTATATCTCCCTCTCATCTTCTCTGCAATCTCGTCATTTGACTGAATCTTCCTTTTTTTTTTTTTTTTTTTTTTTTTTTCTGTGGCGATGGTTTGTTGAGATCTGTAAAAAAACCAAAATAATTTTCATGGATCTGCAGAATATGTAAGTTCGCTGAGCCGCGGCACCGCTAACAGTTCAAAGAATACCTGTTGCCAATCCACCAATATAGGTCCCGCCTAACTCCTGGAAGGCTCCTTCTCCTGTACCCAACAGATTTGATTTAGGGTTTGTCAGACAGACGGCGGCATGAGAAGAGGAGCGTCGCCGACATAAAGGACAGAAAATGCGAAATGAAATATGGTAGAGAGAGAATGCATGGCAGCATGTGCACGTATGATAGGTATAGCAGGGATATTTAATTGGAAAACCAAGCGAATGTACAATTATAACGGAGCGACACGTGTCAATTCCAAGCTTTGAATTTAATGCATACTCTGTTTGAATTATAGAAAGTGTAATGCAAAATAAACTAAATTTAATCTACAAATAATAATGTTATAAACAACATCCATTTAAGTCATATTTTACAAATTATATTTTATAAATTATATGACTTTATCGTTGATGATTCAATTATTATTTAATTATTAATTAACTTGCATATTTTATATTAATAACATATCACAAAATTTACAAATGCGGTCTAAAGAATTAATCTATTGCCATGCTGCATGGAACACGAATATAACATAAAATGGCACTCCCCCAGATATGTCTTCCAATAACTCGACTTCCTTTGCTAATTTAAAGGAAGTGCACTCTCCATCTCGATCAACACCTTAACTAGAGAAACTAAGGAAACCTGAAAATACTGAATACAAAATTGATTAGCAATTTCACTGAAAATGTTGTAGCATCCTGGCCGTACAGTTATACTTACCAACATCATGAATTTGCGATCTCGTACGAAATCATGCAAGTGATTTTATATGCCGTATGCTGTAGTATTGAGAGAGTGGAATCCCATATTTTCCGTTGAATAACGGCCGGTGATCGTCACTGTAACAATCTATTAGTTGACAACTTAACATGAAATCATGCAAGTGATTCACATTAAATAAAGTAAATATAAATATGCAAAGGCAGTGCAAGTAAAACATGAAATCATGCAATTGATTCACAGTTAATAAAATAAATATGCATAGGTAGTGCAAGTAACGGAGAATTTATCGTATGATTAATGTTAGACACTAATCCAATAGCTAGGTTAGACGATTCAGATAATATTTGTAGAAAAGTTAATAATAAAAATAAAAATAAAAATAAAAAAAAGTTATTTTGAATTGATAACACATCTGTGCTATCTCCACTACTTACCTCAAGTGCTCATCTGGGTTTTCTCCAGATTTTTATTTTGGGTGACGAAACGAACCAAACGGCCCAAAGAAACATTAGGTACTTAAAAAATTCTGAACAAAACCCAGATGAGCACTTGAGCTAATCTATGGACGTGCAAAAAAAAAAATTCACAACAGTCGGTTTTTCTTTAATTTGGTACAAATTAGTTGGTTTCTTCAAATATTAATTCTCTCTTTTTTAGTAATCACGGGCTAAAAATAAAAAAACAGGTAAACCTATATCAAAACTCAACGTCAAAGGAGGCGTGGCAATCCCAGTTTTATATTTGAAATTGAGCTCGAGCTCGCCACGAAGGAGATAGACTACGTTCCACCCAAGCTTTTATTAAGACCTTCCCTAATGGCTTTTTTTTCCCAAATTGACCACAGGCTTAACGTGTTGATCTATTTATTTGATTAAGCCCCCAGCCATAGTTCACTCATGCATAGTGAAAAATATGAAATTAGAGGAAGAAGTGCAACATTACCTTTATGGAGCTAATAACAAATTCTCTATTTGAACGTTATTAAGACATTTGTCTTATTCTGCAAGAATGATATTTGAACAAGGACTAATTAAGCAATAGATCATCCGGATCATTGCACAATAGTACATACTAAGACTCAAAAATGTGTTCTTCTATCCTAAGGATACCTAGATTTTAGAAGCCATAGTCGCCTGTATTCACTTGTAACAGTATACATTAGCTAGCTAGAACATACCTTAGTTTCAATCACACACAGCCAAGGCTTGCTTCCACCTATTTTGCTAACTTCTGCAGTTCATCCAGACCCAAGTCTTGACGTTCGTCACCTTTCATCTGCCCTTTGCATGTCAAACCAATTTCAGCAGACTCCCGTCAAACGATCATACCAGCTTAATTAACCACCATATATCTTACAAGCAAATTGATAAATTATAATTACCTCAACTTGCGGGTCTCATCCTCAAGTTCCTTACTCAGCGTGATCTTGTTTTCTCTCTCCAACTATTTAACGGGAAATATATTTATACCAAACCATCATTTAGATAGTCTAATCTGTCACAAACTCACATGAAAAGCTTAAAACATCAAACCCAAAAAGAAACAAGAAAGAAGAAAATCTTAGAACAGCACAAAGCACAAAATTGGACATCGCCTATTTTTATGGCAAAAGATGTTTCGTTTATAGATTCCAAATGTCACAGTGAAGGGAAGGAAAAAAAGGGGCAAAAGATGGACTACTTAAACATGCTTGAGCATGGATCCACAATTGTAGCAATCTCCAGGTCATTTGAATCCTACGTAACAATAAACCATACATGAAACTTTTTTCCATAAGCAAAACTCAATGATTCAAATTAATTCTAACTAATAAAACAAGTTAGAATTTATCCAAAAAAAAAAAAAAAACAACTTTGAACTTCAATGGAAGTTAAAATTATAACTTGGGAGTCATTACTTAACCCCACGTACTTGCACATATTTAGCCCAAGAGGCCAACCATGATAATGTGACAACTACGGGTCCCACATTTTGATTCAAATTTGTGCCACGTGGACAAACAAACAATTAAAATTGGATACAACTATAATTCTAGACTGAGCAGAGGGTCGTCTGATTTTGGGCTCCGTCTAATTACGGGCTCCGTGGGCTGATGCTTCAAAATATTTTTTGAATTTAAATATTAAATATTTATTTTATTTTTATAGTTTATATAATTTCAATTAGTTGTTTGTCCGTGTGGCACAAATTTGACATCACATTATAAAAAATGTGGGACCCATAGTTGACACATCATCATTTAACATTAAATTAACGGACTGACTAACGGATGTATGATATTTCAACAAAATAGTAAGTTGATGTATGAAATAGCAATGTTCAAAAATGAGTTACAAGTTCATTATGAGATCCAAACTTGAAGATGCAAAATGTAATTTACCTTTTTATTTATGTTAAAGAAATCAAATGCCGTATAATTACGTTCCATAGCTCCAAGTGTAGATCACAGAATGTGTTACATTCACTTGACACGGTTAATTGTTATACCACTAAAAATGGAAAATTAAAGAGCAATTAGGACGGGAAAAAGGAAAACCAATATTCAACTGAATTACCTGCAGTTGATCAAACGTGGGTTGATCTGATTTTTCCCCAGAAGTATGTGATTTGTACCTTGCAATAACATCATTGGTACTTCACAACATAAAAGAATAAAATATAATTAGCATGTTTCATTATTATTTATAAATTATGACACATATATAATAATAATATTCAACAAAAAAAAAACAGAGAATTAGTTAGTGCTTGCAAACACTTTTACAATAATCCCAATAAGTTAGTACTTGCATGTTGTATGCAGTTTTGTATTAGATTGTTATTACTCTGTTCTTTTCTGAAACTGTGACTAAAATCAACCACTTTGAACATGCATGCAAACAGAATAACAGCTAGAATAAAATACCCCAAAACAATAAGAACAAAACATGCACAGTTAAATGCTACAGAACTAATTTACCAACAAGAAAACAAAATCACAACAAATTAATACAGATTTGGAGATAATTCATCAAGATTAACCATCCACAACAATCTCACTTTGGAGATATTTGGTTCGGTTGCAAACCAACCAGCCAAATGACCCAGAATATTAAGGCAAAGCTTTCTGGAGGTTTTATTGCTTGGTCTGTTTACCCGGATCAAAATGTCCAGTCGGAATATTATATATGAGATAATGAGATCACCAACTGAGGATACACACAACAAAAAAGGCAAAACCAACGTTGGGACTATCAAGTTAACTAAGCAAATGGGCCTAAAAAGTCCAAGTCAGTTCCTCTCACATCAACTCGGACATCATTGCAAATATACTTTAATTGTTATATTCGCTACGGCCACTTTTTGGTGGGTGGCTTGATTACCAATCCTGAATTTGTTAATGCTTTGCTACCATAGTTAGCAAAAATAATGTAAGAATAAGGGCGACATACAGAATTACATGAACTATAAGTGTATTAAGTTAATGAGTCCTACAATGAAGCTTTGGAAGAGAGTAATTAGGTATAAACTGACGGAAGAGACATGAGTCTCACACAATTAATTCGAGTTCATGCCAGAGCGCTCGACTACAAAAGTAATCTCTCTCTTATAAAGATCGATGGAACGATGCAAAGATATGCAAGAGAATTGCACATGGTTTTTATAGATGTGAAAAAAAGCATATGATAGGGTACCAAGAGAGTTTGAAAGACTCTAGAGAAGAAAGGAGTATGAGTAGCATATATCCAAGCAATCAAGAATATGCATGATAGAGCAAAGATTGTAGCAAGAACTCATAAAGAACAAATTGATCCATTACTATATGATTACACCAAAGCTCAGCTTTAAGTCTTTACCTTTTTGCATTGGCAATGGATAAGTTAACTGGACACATTTAAGATGATATCACCTAGTGTATTCTTTTCGCATATGATGTAGTGCTGATAGATGAAATGCATAAATGAGTAAATGCGAAGCTTGACCCTTGACGAGGAAGTGTTTAGAATCTAAAGGAATTCACCTAATTAGGTCAGACATACTATATTGAGTGCATGTTCATTGGGAAATGGAGTTGAAATGAGATAGGAGTGAGGATTGGATATTAGTAAGTACCAAAGAGTGAACGATTTCATTATCTTGGATCTACCTTGTAAAAGAACGGAGAATTGAATGGGGATCTCAACCATAGCTGTAAGCTGGATGGAGGAATTAAGATTGCATCAATTCCAATTCATTCTTTTCTATTGATTTTATTTTTATCAATATGTATAGATACATGGGTCTATGTTGTGTGTGGTTCGACCTAGTATGCCACTAAAGCTTAAGAGACAATTTTATAGGACGACAATAAAGACAACAATGCTTTACGACATGGAATGTTGGGCAGTCAAGCATCAACACGTGCTAAAAATGAATGGCAGAGATGAGAATGCTTTGTTGGATGTGTGCGAAAACAAGAAAGGACATGATTTAAGAATGAGAATATTCAAGGTAAAGTGAGAGTGGCGGCTATTGAAAATAAGATGAGAGAAAATCAATTAAGGTGATTCGAACATGTGAATGAAGACCTACAGATGCTCTACTTAGAAAATACGATTATGAGATAGAGGCTTAAAGCAAAAAGGATATAGGAAACCTAGGAAGGCTGGGAAATAGAGAGGAACTTTAGTACTAAGTCCTAGACTTACTTTTAGCCACGGCCGCTAGAACTCGATATTAATCACTTTGCCCTCTATTACTCAAAAGTCGCCACTTTACTCTCTGGAACTCAAAATTTGCTCCAGTTTGGCTCCTTCAAACTCGATTTTGATCCCCTTTTGCCCATTAACTCAAAAGTCGTTATTTTACTATATAAAACTCAAATTCGCTCCAGATTGCCTTAATTTTGTTATGTGGGATGTTAACGCATACTGGAGATTTATAATACTTTCTGTTAATTTTGTCATTTTACTCTAAAAAACTCGATTTTAATATTTTCTGATTATTGAATGTTACCATATGAAGATTTATAATCAAATTCATTGGCAAGTGTGGCATAGTCTTATTAAGTGGTGGGTCTCACATGTTTTAGGGAGACAGACTTTTAAGTTTCAGAGAAAAGATATAGCCCACAAGTCAAAGTAGAAAAAATTTTAAGTTTCAAGGAGTAAAATAGTAATTTTGAGTTACAAGAGGCAAAGTGAGATCAAAATTGAGTTCTAGAGTACATTTGTAAATAAACCTAAGTTTTATCCTCTAGAAGAAGTTATTATGAGCGATCTACAAATTGCATAAACATCACACACAACGAACATATTAATATTATTTCTTTTAGCTACTCGGATACTAATTTATGTTGTACTTACGGCGAAATTTTTTGTAGTTAATAGTTGACAGGAATGATGGGAATTTCATGAGTGGAATTGATATGGCTTGATGGGAAGCTTGCAATAGCCAAGATAGGAATTCTACCAGCTGGGAGACGAAGTCCTTCTCCATGCCTAGTTGAAGGAACAAGATAGAAAACGCTTGATGCTAGAATGCTTGCAGCACTAGAATCCTCTCCTCTCGTTCTGTCACCAAATATATGGAGGTTGAAAAATTCTCATTTACGGTGTGTAAAATAGTAGTTGTTTCCAGTAAATATTGAATTCTTTATACATTTTATGGCTATCAACAAAGGGAATGAGGTCAACTCACCATGGTTATCATGTGCTGATGACCACATCTTAGTCAAGTCGACCTGGATGATGTCCCTCTTCCAGTCGTTCATCATAGTCAACCAAGGCAATGAGGTCAGCTCGAATTGCCGATGGTGTGGAGACTTTGGTGGCGTAAAAAGCCCTTCTATATGTGGGAGTATATCAGCCCTAATCCACGCGACAATTCCTTATCGATATATAAGTTCAAAATGGTATAGAAAAAGAATGTCGAACAGTAAAAATAGGAATATCTAGATGACAAAAAAGTTATACACTATCTAGTAAATTCTTAGAAGCTACCCCTCAAAAAGAATTTTTTTTGACACATTAGACAAGTTATAAAACACCATCCTACAATAAGGGCATCTTTCTATGCGTGTTGATTTGGAATGTCAGATTGATAAAGTAATTCTATATAACACATTTCAGGTTAAAGGAACCACTTTAAAAATGATATTCCCATTTTATCCCATTTTATTAATAAAAATGATATCATCACTTACTATGTAGAGTGCTTTTTTTTTTCTTTACTAAAACAAAAGCACAACTTTATCTAAATTCTTATTCCACAATTACATGTCAATATATTAATCTCACCCTTCCTCTCATGCACAATATTTATGGAAGAAGGTTTTTATCTTTGCAACTACTAAAGTTAGTTCATTATTTCATGCATGCATGTGGAAAAACAGGTTATATATACATGGCCATAGCTGCACCACTGATTGCCCTACTTGACGCAGGCATACATATTCCTTCCCAAAGGATCTTCAAGGCTTCTATGATGAATTCCCAAGTTTTCATCACATCACTTTCTTCCTAGTAAGAAAAATCCAAAGCATATATAATTGAATGTTCGTATTTTAAGTCTTTAGCAAGTTCACCGTATTCGTTTACAGGTATTTTAGTTCAGGTGGGGAGAATGAAGGACAACTTTTGGAACATAGCCTAACATCGTGTGTTGAAGTTGTCATGCGTGTATATATATATATGGTACGTAGAGAGTAAGTCACTCTTTTACTAGCCAGAGTATTTTATCTATCATTTTGATTTTATGTTGTTAGATTATTTATTTCGAATTGATTATCTGAATTCTAGTGAGAATGACGGTCTAAGAAAATAATAAACCCCAACTATTATTTTATATATTGTTATCTACAAACAATTTGTGATAGGTGGGGAAAATAAGATCAAAGCGGCAAGATAAACTATGAAACTGTAAAATAGTAATAAGATTACATAATTCACTAGACCAGTGGCTCTTATATATATAGACTTCTGCATGGCGGACACGATTACATGTAGCATGAAAAGCAAAGAAATCAGCATCACGTAAAAAATCGCCACCACTTCACAGATTGAAAGCATGTAAAACTAATAAAATGTTAATTTCTCAAACTAGGACACCTAGCTAGAAGTTGTCTCAATCAAAAGTAAACCTCACTTTCCTGAACTAGATATTCAAGATAGCATTCTTAATACCTTATCTAGTTAAAACTCACTCTCTCTCTCTCTCTCTCTCTCTCTCTCTCTCTCTCTCTGTCTTTGTGTACATGCATAGATTATCTATCTAGCTATTTAGCACTCTCTGGTCATTTGGGAATATATAACTTTTTGACCCAAATGACCGAATCTCTCTGTCTCTCTCTCTCAGAAAGAGAGAAGTTATCAAGTCATGTACTTGGTTATATTTGTTCAAGTTGGGAAAATTAGAAAGAATTTATAAGGCGGTGGGATGTTGTACAGAGTTGGTACCTGGAGCTTGAGAAATCAAGGAGCTTGTCAGTTTGAGAAAAGATGATAACAGCAGCTTCAGATTCACACAGAATCGACAGCTCTCCAGCTTTCTTCATAATCCCCTTTTCTCCTCTTTGAGAAGGTTACCTGCCTTGCCGGCAAGCAGTCGATCTTCCTGATCTTGATCTTCTCCCTAATCATTTTCTCCAATTCTTCCTACCCCCTTCAGAAACAATAATTCAAGTAAAATAAAATAAACCAACCACTTCGAATTTCCATATATATAAATGTCAACAAACTCAAAAACTACCTTATATTTTCTGGGTTTCTGATAATTTTAAGGATTATTGACCACAAACCCTAGCGTTTCAAATCTAAATAAGTAAAACAAAACCCAGATCAAACCACCAACTACAATCAACTGTCCAATATTTCGTATTTACCATAAACAGAAGAAGAAGAAAAAAGGAAAACCATACAGAAATTAATTACTGGATTTTCCTCTGTTTTTTTGTTTACCTTCGTTGGGGTGGTTTCAGGTCTGAAGTTTTGGTCCGACCACGAAATTTGCAGAGCAGTGAAAGCCAGCACTTTTGGAAAGAGAAGGGGAGAGGGAGAGAGAGAGAAAGAGTTGGGCGCAGCTGGTTTGTTCAAGAAAGGAAAGGCAGCGAAATTTCTTTCCCATTTATGGAAATTTCCCATTGTGCCTTTTTCTATTTTTATGGATATTTTTTTTAGAAATTAAGGTAATAAAACCTGGAACGCAGATCAGCAGGGGACCGATCACCACCGTTTAGTTTATATGTGGACCGATCACCGATCTAAGAGATTATCGGTTTTATTCTTCCTCAGCCGCTGGTTGCGCAGTTGACACGCAGCTGCCCTTTTGCCATGCGTTTTCATGTTATTTACTCTTTTGTCATGCCTCTTCTGTATCACCTGCTGCTGGAAAAATTTTTAGGTGTACCCTCACTCATTAGAATTTTTTTGGTGTACAAAAAGTGAGGGTGCACCAAATTTTTTTGGTGCACCCTCACCATTATGAGTGAGGGTACACCAAAAAAATTTGGTGTGCCGGGTACACCGAAAAATTACTCCTGCTGCTGCAGCACTTACTTTTTCAGTCACTAGTTTTAAAATAAGGACACGCGTCAATTTCAAGCTGTGAATGTTTTGTCTGTTTGAATTACAGAAATGGTTTTTCCTTCCGGGTTAAGAAAAAGGAAGAGAACTGAGAAGGGAGAGAGGATACGAAAGGGGTGAGTACCTGGGGAGGCAAATTCAAAGAATGTCAAGGGAGTAAATAAGTAGAAACAGATGGCTGTACATTTGTTAGTTATAAAATCTATAGAAGACAGTCAATAACGCAAGTGGCGACTGAGGACAGATATTTCGGTGTGTGTACACGGCTGTACGTTTTATGAAGTGTCTTCCTTATTATATATGACATGCGTTGTTCCGTTCTGTGTTCTAAGAACATTGAAAAGTTTCTTAATTGTTGTAGCAAGAGAATATATTATAAGTAAAATACTTCTTGCCAAGCTTTCTGTGCTAATCCGCATTGCTTTGAATTTAGGATAAATTTATAATGGAACGAGTCTTAGTTCGGTTCTGTTGCTCAATCTAGTAATAGTACGGGAGGGCAGGTAAGGGCCAATTAAGAAAGACTTTGTTGGAAAACCCGAGTTCAACTAAAGTAGCAAACCTAGAAAGTTTAGCAGTTAGACAGGAAAGCTGGAGTAGAATGCAAACTGAATAAGCAAATAAACTCTTTTTCTTTCACGAATTCTAAATGGTTGTAGAAAGATTAAGCATTCCTTTGAACGCACAAACGTGAAAATTTTCTCGATTGTTGTAGCAAGAGAATATATTATACTATCACCAACTACTAATCTCACCTCTAAATATTATAAAAATATTAAATTAAATGGATCTTAATAGGTATCTTTAACAATTCAGTGAGTTGATTTGCACCTCTGGGAAGCAAAAATATTCCCTTCAAGCAATTGGTGCTAGCATCCCTTTTGTTTTTGTTTTTTTTCCCCCCTTTTATGTGGACGATGGAGTTCAGTACAGCTTATGCGTACTTGTGTAACTGGGTTAAGTTATCATGTGATGCGACACTTAGCTTTGTCTTTATTTTGCTCGGGTAACCTTCTACTCTTTTTTATTTGGTAAAATGAATCTAATTAAGAATTCTCTGCATCAAAGTTCAGTTCTGGTGCATCATGCTCCTCGTCCACATCAAATCTCTAGTACAAGAGTTTGCAACTTGCAAGTCTGGACAGGACCAATACATGTTTATAAACATCGGATTCTACCACAAACATTGTTATAAACTAAACCAAAAATTAATCAAGCAATAAACGAAACACAATGATTTCAAAGTTCCTCAAATATATGAGTACCTCTCTAACAACGGAAGCTTTATTGATTACCAACAAATACAAGAGAACTCACAAACACAAAGTGATCTCAAGTATACAAACCTATGCCTCTCACAATTTTCACACACAAAACTCTATCTCACATCCATCTATTTATACTAATAGATGTCATAGATTTACACAAAGTCCCTAGAAAACAGGAAACCAAATCTTATACTAAAACCAAATCCCAAACCAACTAGGAAACATAAATCCAAATATCTTGCGTCCAAGATATCCTAATCCTTGTCTGATTCTTGTTTTAGTTTAGGCATGTTGATTTAATGCCAAATCCAACAATCTCCACCTTGGCATGAAATCCATAAAGAGGCATCAAACAACTTTCTTTGCTCCACCATATCGCAAGATCATACTTGCTTCAACTGCACCAAATCCAAACAGTGCTCGAACTTAGCTGCATTAACCACCTTTGTCAACATGTCAGTTGTATTATCTTCTGTAGCAACCTTTTTTAGACAAATCTCACATTCAGCTACCACTTCTCTCACAAAATGATATCGTACATCAATGTGCTTAGTCCTAACATGATGTACCTGATATCTGGCCAAATAAACGGCACTTTGGCTGTCACAATATACATCCAACTTGTGTTGTTCTACACCTAAATCTCCTAACAACCTCATAGTCCACATTACTTCTTTGATAGCTTTAGCGATTGCCATGTATTCTGCTTCTGTGGTTGATAGTGCCACCGTTGGTTATAGTATTGATCTCTAGCGTATAGGACCATTTGCCATAGTAAACACATACCTAGTCATCGATCTTCTCTTGTCTAAGTCTCCAGCAAAGTCTAAGTCCACATATCTAGCTAAGAACTTATCAATTCCTTCATCACATCTTTCAAAACAAATACTTTTGTCCCTCGTTCCATGTAAATACCTTAGTGTCCACTTAGCAGCATTCCAACGCTCTCTTCTAAGATTATGCATGAATCTACTAACAATTCTAGCTGCGTGTGCTATATCATGATGACTACACACCATAGCATACATTAATCCTCCAACCAAATTAGCAAATGTAATACCATCCATCTTCATCTTTTCTTCATCAGTTTTGGGACATTGTTGACTGCTCAACTTGAAGTGAGCACCTAATGGAGTTCTTACAGGCTTAGTGTCTTTTGTTACTCCAAACTTTTGTAATAACTTCTCAAGATATTGCTTCTGAGACAAACACACCAAACCTCTTTGTCTATCCTTTGTGGTCTCCATTCCCAACATTTTCTTAGCTTCACCGAGATCCTTCATTTCAAACTCCCTTCTCATTTGCTCCTTCAACTTTTCGATCTCTAAAATATTGCTTGAGGCTATGAGCATGTCGTCCATATAGATTAACAAGTATACAAACTAACCATCTTTCAACTTCTTGTGATAAACACAGTGACCATAGTGACTTCTTGTATAGTCTTAACCCTTCATAAACTTGTCAAATCTTAAATACCACTGCCTGGGCGACTGCTTCAAACCATAAAGAGATTTTCTGAGCTTACAAAACCAATCTTTCTTTGCCCTTCACTTGATACCCCTCGGGTTGTCTCATATAAATCTCTTCATCCAAATTACCATGAAGGAATGCAGTCTTCATGTCTAGTTCTACCAATTCAAGGTTGAATTATGCAACTAGGGCAAGCAATATTCGAATGGAGGAGTGCTTAACCATAGAAGGAAAAATCTCATTGTAATATATTCCCTCCTTCTAAGCATATCCTTTAGCCACTAGCCTAGCTTTAAATCTTACCAAGCTCTTGTCATCCACTCCATCCTTCTTTGCATAAATCCATTTGCAGCCAATTGCTTTCCTTCCTTTAGGCAGCTCCACCAATTGCCAAGTCTTATTCTTGTAAATGGAGAGCATTTCATCGTCCATTGCATCATGCCATTTACTCTCTTCTTCAAAATTAGTGGGAATTTCAACCTCAATTACTAGCAATGCATATACCATGCAGGCCATGCAATCTTTATATCTCGCAAGCAGGATATGTCTCTTTTTCCCTTCCTTTTGGCTATGCAATCATCTTGTATCTTTAGTTCTTATGATGATGTTTCTTCTTCGTGATCACTTTCTTCATGTTCAAGTTGATCACCTTGTCTTTCTTCTTCCACAGCTTCCTTACTTGGTTGTGAATTCACAATTACTTGTTCACCAAGCTCCACCATCTAACCATCTTCCTTCAATTTCATGTGACTTTCATCGAATGTCACATCTCTACTTACTATAATCTTGTTTAGCTTGGGAAACCAAAGTCTGAAACCTTTCACACCACTATTGAATCCTATAAAGACAACTTTCTTGGCTCGTGGATCCAGTTTGTTTTCCTTCACATGAAAGTAGTGTGAGGACCTGTATTTTTAAAAAATACTTATATAATAATTACGTGTTAATTATTGTGGTTAGTTTCATTGAACTTTGTATTATAAATTGTTTAGATATTTTCCATTGGTAATTTATAAATTACTTTATACAGTGTTTTATACTCTAAATGGATTTTCAGAAGTGACCTTGGTATCCAATTTCATCACATTAATTTAAGCCCAATTATTTACCCTTACCAACAGTTAGTTAACCTTACTAATGTCAGCCGCTTCCAATTCTTCTTCTTAACTTCTTATTTATTCTCTTCTTATCTCCACGACCAGGTGTAAAGGTCTGAGGCCTTCTCATTTTTGTTTCTCCATTTGATTGACAGCTCCTGCTCTCTAGCATCTAATATCCCATATGCTAGTATAATATATTATATTTTAAGTACTTGTTCAGCACTCTAAGAAGCTGCTGCCTTCTCCGACTATAAATAGGGAGCTGCACCTGCATTTCATTTTAGACATTAGTATCTTATGGGGAAGAGCGAGAGCGAGAGAGAGAGAGAGAAACCAGAAGCTGAGGTGCTTCTTAATCAGCGGTGTTAAATCTGTAGCAGGATAAATATGGGTAATGATTCTCATATTTTCTTTAGTCTTTCCATAGCTCTATATATTGTAGGACTCAGTCGTGTTTCATCTCTATTAGTTTGTATTACATATGTATGTATATCTGCATAGACGTTTGGCTATCAGACTTTACAATTGGAGATCATCTTACCTACACAAAAGTGATAGGACTGAACCTATACATAATTATCACATGCTAAATATGATCTCTTACCTTTATTAGAGGTTGTTGTATAAAAGAGGGCTTGAGCTTATTAATTCGAACATATATCTTTCTTATTGGTTTGAGAGAAACTATATATGTATATGCTGGTATTCATGCATATAACTTTGCACAAGCCTGAGTAAACCAAGCCAGCTTTCTCGGCATGGAACCATCTGCATATGTTCATAGGTACAGTTTCAACTGTATCAAGTAAAG